CCGCCACCTATTCGTCAAGTGCAACCGCTCCACCACGACAACTTCCACCACCTGCAGTCGCCCAACCACGGTTCAGACAGCCTAACACCATTCAGTGTCATCCATGCCAGCGCCACATGGATCCGGCCCAGTCCACCACCACCCAGAGCAGCAGCCCATCGTTACCAAGCAGAGGCCGCAATGACATATGATGCAGGAGTCCCCACCACCACCGTGGAACAGTGGGAAGTACTACATGAGGCAGATCCCCTACAGGCTCACGCAGACACCATCGGCAGACAGTCTACCTAAAAGGAAAAGCAGTACAAGGGCTTCGCGATTCTGGAGCCACCATTACATTGGTAAAGAGCCACCTAGTTCCCATGGACGCAATGACCAGCAGAACTGTAACAGTAAGGGTCGTCGGGGGAGCAGTATACTGCTGCCCACAGCCCGGGTGCATTTGAATTGGGGGGCAGGTCATGGGAAGGTGGAGGTGGGGTTGATGCCACAACTACCTGCAGAAGTTTTGTTGGGGGATGACTTGGAGAAACTAACGTCAGCGTATGAACCTCAGACACCAGCTGTTGGAGAGGCTCACCTGTGGTCACACGCCAACAGGCCCGCAGCCAGGACTACAACTCGGAGGTTCAGGTAAGAGACCCTTCCCCATCTATGGAATGTGCATCCTGGGCCCCACCTAGTGAATTTGAAGCCGAGGTAGCCACAGACCCTACGTTACAGGTATATAGAGATAAGATAGCCACAGGGCTGGCAGGGACAGACAGAGAGAAATTCATATGGGAGGGCAAGTTATTACACAGGAAGACAGAGAAAAAGGGCAACGGGGTAGACCCGGTTATTAGTCGTCAGTTAGTGGTACCACAGCGGTACCGATCCGAGTTACTCTGGATAGCGCATGATATACCGCTATCCGGACACCTGGGGGGATCATCAGCGCCCCATATCACCCCCAGACCAATGGGCTCTGCGAACAGTTTAATGGAACATTAAAACAGATGCTCCGAACGTTTGCGGAGATCCATCGGGACTGGGAAAAATTCCTACCTCACCTTCTCTTTGCATATCGGGAAGTGCCGCAGGAATCCACGGGGTTCTCCCCATTTGAATTGTTGTATGGGAGGCGGGTCCGAGGTCCTCTGGATCTCATTAAAGAGCACTGGGAGGGAGACCACAGCTCCACCGGTACTCCCATCATACCGTATGTACTGGAGTTTAGGAACCGACTGGAGGAATTAACCTGAGCAGTACGGGAGAACCTCCAAGTGGCCCAGACACGGCAACGCACATGGTATGATCGGAGCGCCAGGAACCGTAGCTTTCAGGTGGGACAGAAAGTTTTAATTTTAAAACCTGTTCAACATGACAAGCTACAGGCTGCCTGGCAGGGCCCTTATAAGGTACTGGAGCAGCGCTGCGACACCACCTATATAATTGGCCCATGTGCGGGCTCGGGGGGGCGATGCATGCTCCATGTGAACATGCTGAAACCCTACCGGGAACGCTCAGACGAGGTGACAGCCATCTGTGCACCTCCCTCTGAAAGTTGGGTAGTGACATAGCCGAGGTTAAGCTGGGGGAGCGGCTGAGTCCCCAGGAGCGTAGGGAGATACAACAGTTGTTGAGGGAAAAACAAGAAACTTTCTCTAATGTGCCAGTCTACACTCCACTGGCGACTCACCGCGTAGAATCCCCAGGCCAGTTACCTATGCGCCAAACCCCATACCGCATCCCAGAGGCCCTAGAACCAAGACCCAGGTGTTAGCCTTTTTAGGGACGGCAGGGTATTATAGAAAGTTTGTGCCCAATTATAGTGCCCTGACCAAACCCCTTACCGACCTTACCCGTAAAAACCTTCCCCGTCAGGTCACCTGGACCCCGGAGTGTGAGCAGGCATTCCAACAGTTGAAGAACGCACTTGTAAATGCTCCTGTCTTGGCAGCCCCTGATCCAACTAAACGTTTTCTTGTTCACACAGACGCTTCTATGTTTGGATTGGGGGCAGTACTGAGCCAAGTCGGGGCCGATGGCGGAGAACATCCCGTGGCTTACATCAGGAGAAAATAGTTGCCGAGAGAAGTTACGCCGCCATCGAAAAAGAATGCCTGGCCGTGGTGTGGGCCCTGAAGAAGTTGCAACCCTATCTTTATGGACAGCCATTTTCATTGCTCACGGATCACAACCCTTTAGTATGGTTGAACCGGGTGGCGGGGGACAATGCTAGGCTGCTGCGCTGGAGTTTGGCGCTGCAGCCCTTTGACTTTAATATACAATACCGAGTTTTCCCTATGCCTGGATTACACAGAATGGTGGCTATACTATGTTCGGTATAAAGATGGAACAGTTTACCTGTGAACAGCTCTATTCACCATACGAACTTAACTACCGAACGACCGGACCACCTTGGTGTGAAGGGTGGCTGTAATTTACCTCCGATTGCTTGTTACATTCCCTTGAACGCACGAACACTCTGTTATATTCTCTGGGTAGCCGCCATTTCAGCAGCCGAACACGTGGCGGTGGACATCTTAAACCCGCGAACAGCGGTGTTTGGTCGTCGAGTGTCTGGAACTCAAAACGGACACTCTATTAACCGAACACCGCTAAGACCTCCAGGGCTTCAGAAAGTACTGATGGAAACGCACGAACGGCCCATCGTTCGGTAGGATGAATCCCACGAACTAGGGGATTCATCCGGTTACCAACATAACTATGGATGGCATAGCCTTTTGGGACTTTTGAGGCACGAAACAGAGACCGACCGCAGGGCCAGATCTCGTGGAACTATTTTTGGCTACTTTACCCATGTGGTCGGTCAAATCTTTACCTTCTCATAACTCCCAAATCCCTGGTCTGATCTGGGTGATTTTGGGATATGTTCCTCACCCAGATCAGGGCTATCAGGGGGTACCATATTTAAATGTGTGCCCCACATATTTGGTGTACATCCAAGAATTGGGGAAAAGTATGCACTGTATAATTATGTTAACTGTTAATCTAAGGGGAGGAGATGTGAAGGAGGTAACGTCCATGGGATTGGTTACTATACTAATTATGGTGAGTCCCTCCCTTGCATGGGAGAATCTCATAAAAGCAGGAATGTTGCCATTAAACTTAAGTTCTACTCCTGATATTGTGTGTCGTCCAGTGATTGGGAAAGGTGATGGGATACTGTTTGTAGCGGAGAGCTAGTATTTCATAGCCTACCTCCAGTTGTAGATCCCAGTGAGGCTCAGGAACAAGTAGTTATAAATCCATAGGCAAGGTATCCAGCAGGTAAAACAATACAGTAGTATCCCAACAGCACTCCCAATAACTGGACGACACACAGTATCAGGAGCAGAACTCAAACCTTTATTTCACAGTGGCCTTATAAAGCATGCTCCCATGCAAGGGAGGGATTTCCATCAATTACTACAGTATCCAATCCTGTTCCAGTAACCTCCCACACATCCCCTCCCCTCAGCCTGCATCATAATCCCCTTATCCAGGACACCAATTCCCCCCGTTTCTGGATGTACCCCTAAACCTAGGGGTACCACTTTAAATTATACATCCCCTGGTTGCCCTGATCTGGGTGAACAACATATCCAAAAATCACCCAGAGCAGACCAGGGGTTCAGGAAATTCATGGAGGGAATAAAATGACTGACCGCGCTGGAAGTTATAGCCGAATTGGGCTCCATGCGATGGGGCCCTGCGGTCAGTCCTGGAACAAGGGAATAAATCACACGAAAGCCTCTAGTTACAGAGACTGGGGAGGGTTCGCCTGAATTCCCTCGTTCGGTTGTTTCTATCTACCGAACAATGTTGCAACGGGTAATTGAAGGCACACTTCACACAGGGGAGGTCTGACTGTTCGGTAGGTTCATTCGAACAAACTAAGGGAATGAAACTACCAAACAATCAGACGAACACAATACATTTAACACATATAACTTTGCCATTTACACAAATGCAGTCAAGGTTAATACAATTCCCAGGAGAGCCCAGTGCCATCCGCTACACTGTTGGTTTTTATTGCTGATTGTGCTGGTTACCCTCTTGTATTTACTACTTGTTCCTGCATTCTTTTAATAGCCCAGTGGAGTTAAGCTGTGGGAAATCAGCTCTCCACTACAAGGGCTACTAAACTGGTTCATGGATTGCAGGATAAAACTTACCAGGAAAGGTTAAATACATAAAGGGAATCAACAAAGTAAAGGAGGAGACCATATTTAAAAGAAGAAAAACTACTAGAAGAGGAAATAGTCTTAAATTAAAGGGGCAAAGGATTAAAAATAATATCAGGAAGTATTACTTTACTGAGGGAGATACATGGAATAGCCATCCAGCTAAGGTGGTAGAGGTTAACACAGTAAAGGCGTTTAAGCATGCGTGGGATAGGCATAAGGCTATCCTAACTACAAGATAAAGTATTTAGAAAATTGGGCAGACTAGATGGGCCGAATGGTTCTTATCTGTCGTCACATTCTATGTTTCTAAATGAAAAAATAATGAAGTGAATAATGAAAAATGCTAAAAATGAGCAATATTTTTTTTATTTTAAAAATAAACAAAACAAAGACAACATTTATGACGGTACTTTACCAAATAAGAATAGGAAAACAGTAAATAAATTACAGTAAATTACTCCCATTGAAAAAAGGATGGGTGTATTATTTTGAGTCTGCATGAGAAAGGCTTTACTATTGTGTGAGTTTCTGAATGGTAGACAGTTTTTAAACAATCTTGCATTCACAATACACGTTTAACCCCTTCAGGACAGAGTCAATAGTGTACGTTCTGATCAAAACAAAACGTAAAAAAACCTGGAATTTACGCTATATGTCTGTTCAACCGTATATCACCGCTGTCATATTAAGTGCACCCACACTTATTATATATAATTTTGTGCAGGAGAAACAGGGCTTTAATTTATCATTAACTATTCATATATGGAACATAATTTATTATGAATAAAATTAAAAAAAATGCGAGAAAATAGGATTTTTTTTAAAATTTGACATTTTATCTGTGAATGTCATAATACTGTTAGGTTTTACTGCAAAAAAATGCACATATTTGTAATCAGCAATGTCTCACAAGTACAACAGTACCCCCCATTAACATGTTTTAAGGTGTTTTGGAAAGTTACAGGGCCAAATATAGAACGTTCCATTTTCAAATTGAAATTTGCCAGATTGGTAATGTTACCTTTGAGACCGTGTGGTAGCCCAGGAATGAGAATTACCCCCATAATGGCATACCATTTGAAAAAGTAGACAACCCAAAGTACTGAAAGTGGGGTATGTTTAGTCTTTTTTAGTAGCCACTTAGTCACAAACACAGGCCAAAGTTAGCGTTCATATTTGTTTTTCTGTGAAAAAAGCAAAAAACTAATATTTGGCAAGTGTTTGTGACTAAGTGGCTACTAAGAAAGTCTGGACATACCACACTTGCAATACCTTGGGTTGTCTACTTTTGCAAATGGTATGCCATCATGGGGTAATTCTCATTCCTGGGCTACCATACGCTCTCAAAGGCAACATAACCAATCTGGGAAATTTCAATGTAAAAAAAAAAGTAAATGCAAGCCTTATTTGTGACTCTCTAACTTTCCAAAACACCATAAAACCTGTACATGGGGGGTACTGTTTATTTAAGTGTTATTGTAATTATACATATATAATATATGTGTATATATCTATTATATATATATAATATATATACATATTATATATGTAACATCATTCTAAGTGTATTTTAATACTAATATATGTACTTATATTAATATTAAAATACACTTTGTATGACGTTACATATATATAATATGCATATCTATTATATATATAATAGATCTACATATATTATATATAGATAAATACATTTTTTTTTTTAAACATGTTGAACTGACATTTCAGATCCACAGCCAGCTATAGGGGGCCATGTGATCACTTTTTGAGAGCGATCACATGGCCCCCGGGGGCCTCATTTGCCATGGGAGGGCTGTCTGGGCTGTCAGGGAGCCCTCCAGAAGAGGATCGTGGTGGAGCTAAGTACGCCGGACCTCCAGAGGCTCAAAGCCGTTACGGCTTCTATGCCGCCACAACGGCTTTAAAGCCCACTTAATGTGGGACGGCATAGAACGCCGTAACGGCGTTAACGGGTTAATACCCATTGATGCTTCATAAAGCTTTAGCATTAACTATGGCATTGTCTTACATCTAACAAGACAAGCATGTCAGCTAAAAAAAAATAAAAAGTCCACAAAGGTGCTTTTTCATGTGTGAGTTCTTTGATGGCTAAGAAAAAACGATTGCTGGCTAAAACTTTTACCACATTCAGAGCATATGAAAAGTATCTCTGCCCTGTGAGTTCTCTGATGTTTTGTAAGATCTGAGCGCTGGATAAAACATTTCCCACATTCAGAACATGAGTAAGGTTTCTCTCCTGTGTGTGTTCTTTGATGTGAAAAAAAATTAGTTTGTTGACTAAAATATTTTCCACATTCAGAACATAAGTAAGGTTTCTCTCCTGTGTGAGTTCTTTGATGTATAGCAAGATGAGAGTGCTGGCGAAAACATTTCCCACATTGAGAACATGAGAAAGGTTTCTCTCCTGTGTGAGTTCTCTGATGTCTAACAAGATGTGAGTGACGGCTAAAACATTTCTCACATTCAGAACACGAGAAAGGTTTCTCTCCTGTGTGAGTTCTCTGATGTCTAACAAGATGTGATTGACGGCCAAAACATTTCTCGCATTCAGAACATGGGAAAGGTTTTTCAGCTGTGTGAGTCATCTGATGTGTAATAAGTTCAGATTTACTGTGAAAACCTCTCTCACATTCAGAACACGAGAAAGGTTTCTCACCTGTGTGAATTCTCTGATGTCTAAAAAGTTGTGATGTACAAACAAAACTTTTCCCACATTCAGAACATAAGAAAGGTTTCTCTCCTGTGTGAATTCTCTGGTGCCTAACAAGATGTGTTTTACAAACAAAACCTTTCCCACATTCAGAACATGTGAAAGGTTTCTCTCCTGTGTGACTTCGCTGGTGCCTGATAAGTTGTGCCTTATCAATAAAATATTTCCCACATTCAGAGCATAAAAACTGAGACTCTCTTGTGTGAGTTTTCTGATGTCTCACAAGACCTGAATTACAGGAAAAGCTTTTCCCACATTCAGAACAATATAAAGATTTCTCCACTTTGTGAGTTTTCTGATGTTTCATTAGATATGAGCGTTGATTAAAACATTTCCCACATTCAGTACATGAAAAGGGTTTTTCTCCTGTGTGAGTCCTGAAGTGGATAACACATTTTGAATAACTGCTAAAATATTGTCCACATTCAGAACATGGAAAATGCTTTATTTTTCCATTTACCATCTCGTTTGTAGACATATAGAATTCTGAGAGATTCCTTAATTTATGAGAGTTAGAATCTTTGGTTGTTTTATTAAAATATTTCTTCATAGTCTTGCTTAGTGTATTTCTGTTCTTGTTATGTCGCTCAGAGTAACTTCTGCTGGCTGAAACACCTGAAATAAATGTAATGGGAGTTATAGAAAATGTGTCACTATAAATTATTTATCATAACACCAAAAAAAAAAAAAAAAACTAAACAAAAAAAACCCACAAAAATTGACAATTCTTTCACTAAAATAGAAGAACCATCACAAATAGTTTGTGCCCTTTAACCCCTTCACTATGAAAATTGTGTATAGACACTTTTACTTTCATGTTCTTTGCAAAATGTTATGTAGTCCATAACATTACCTATAGTTATACTTCAGAAATAATTACCAGCTTTTGAAGGAAGAAAATTCATTTAAGGAATTCATTCCACCATTTTAATGTCTGCAAATAACTTGAGAAGCTCAGCTCTCACCCTCCTTCTACATAGCAATATAAATTTCAAAAATCATACCATTCCTACAGTCAGTAAATGGAGGTGTGGTAGAAGATGTTAATCGTTTTTCCCATATACCTTTCAGCATTATATATATATATATATATATATATATATTTTTATAGAATTTCAGGATTGTTATAAAACTTTAAATTCCTTTATCTTAGCAATATGAGATTAGTAATACTTACTGAACAGAAATTCAGGCATTTATTTTCCACGTTCTGTAGCTATTTTAGAAAACTGAAATGCCAGTAATGCTATCCTTATCAATACCTGCAATCAGGGTATTTGTCGATTTTGATTCATGATTTTTTTTCACCTCTACCTGTGAGGAAACTTAATTTTTCGCTATTTTTACAAATATTTTAGACACCATGAAGAAAGTGGATTCTGTATACTAGCTTAAGTGTGTAACTCCCTCAATATCACTATAAAACGATAACTATAACTTGAAAAAAAGTGTACATTTAAAAAAATATATATTTTTATGTTTAAACTGCAAACTATACACAAAATTGCTGTTCTATCATAAATTTATGTGCTACCTCGACTTCCACAGTTTCAAATTAATGTTACGCTAAGGTTTTTTCAAACACAAAGTATGACTATGAAAGAAGCCTACTAGAATAGGTCATGTTTCCCCATAATACACACAATGAGTATGCTTTATTAATGGGCTATTTCATGTAACCAATAACATGGCTGAAATTTTGCCCTCTATTCACACCTATAGGATGTGCATTAAAGATACTGGCAGCATGATCTGGGCAGATCTGAGGAAGCCAATTTGGCAAAACACATCATCACACCAGATGCCAATGCCCCGCCTCCCAGAAGAGTGTAGAAACCAATCCGGACTTGTTTAAGCTCTGAGACAGCCGGCATTTGTGCCAACACAGAGATGGTACTGTGAACTACCTTTTTTCTCTGCAAGCTCTGTTCAGAGTTGTCTTAACATTTGTGGTTAATAAAGATACTGGAAGATTCTTGTTGCATGATCTTCTGCATCGGTTTGTGTCCCATCAGCAGTGGTGGAGAGGAGCATCTGTAGTTTAAGGCAGCCTCGTCTGCTCTACATTTGTGAGTTATATTGCACTAGCATCATTTCCCATATATTTCAGATGTTATTACACTATTTTGTTTTTGTTCCTTTGTTTCATATGTGGAATTCTGGAGATTTATATATGTAAGTAAAGTGTGGATCACTTTACACTGATATCAGACTTTGATGTTTCCCTGGTTTGTGAAGATTTGCAATTGTTTACACACAGAGATTGTGCATGTTGCAAGGATAGAGGTGGACAAAATATAATTTTATGCACGAGGTTTAATTCTGATAAGCTGCTAGTCTAAATGTGGATATTATTTTATTTTAGTTTCAAAAAATGTGTGTGTTCGACTACTACATGTCTGCTTTGGTGAGCACAATTTTAAGGTATCAATCTATAAAAAAAATTAAAATAAATATTAGAGAACTGGGCCATGGTGACTAGAACCTGAGTCCCTAGGTTTGAGAGTCTGTTCCTACACTCTCTGAGCCATGCAGTTTTAGGAGCATTTTAAGTGAAAAGAGAGAAAATACAACACTAACGTCTATGAAGGATCCCACAAGAGTGAGTGAGCATCCATAGATATTGTTGTGCGATCAACAGCTGGGTGAATTGACAAAACGAGGCAGACTAGCTTCATCATAGCGTCACCTTTTGTCAAGCATAAATGAGATACTCAACAGAAAACAGTCTATATTTTGTCTTTTGATATAATTTGACTGTATTGACACAAAGTCAATGTGAGTATTTCATAAAGTTTTTATCTTTATGAAATTCTAAATTTGTGTTGGGGGAGGTGTGGGAGGGGGGTTGGTGACAGAGCGGCTTTAAATCCATTATTTCCAACAATTTAAGAGAAGATGATGTTTACACATATTCATGTATAGGGCCCCCCAAACATGTTTCATGTAAGAGTGTTTAAAAAAAGTTCCAAATGACCACAGCACAGAATTCTTACATTTATATTCCATCACCATGAAAACAAAAGTGCATTACATTTATCATTATATGTGCAACTCCATGAGAGCCAAAGGAAAAGGGAGTAATCTGTACTTTTAATTCAAGCATGTTACTTCTAAACACAGTGCATTTTAATTTCTTAATGTAACAAAAATTATTTTTATTTTTTTCCAATCACAGAAAATAACCTATTTTTTCATGGTTTCTGAATTTCGGGAAATTTACATCTACAGGTGATACTCGAAAAATTAGAATATCGTGCAAAAGTTAATTTATTTCAGTAATGCAACGTAAAATGGGAAACTATATCTACGAGATAGATGCATTACATGAAAAGCAAGATAGTTCAAGCCATGATTTGTCATAATTGCGATGATTATGGTTTCCAGCTCATGAAAACACCAAACCCACAATCTCAGTAAATTAGAATATTACATGCAAATCAATAAAGCAAGGAGTGTACATAGAACAATATCAGACCTCTGAAAAGTATAAGCATGCATATGGACTCAGTACTTGGATTGGGCCCCTTTTGCAGCAATTACTGCCCCATGCAGCGTGGCATGGAAGCTATCAGCCTGTGGCACTGCTGAGGTGTTTTGGAAGACCAGGATGCTTCAATAGCAGCCTTCAGCTCTTCGGTCTCATGTCTCATCTTTCTCTTGGCAATGCCCCATAGATTCTCTTTGGGGTTCAGGTCAGGCGAGTTTGCTGGCCAATCAAGCACAGTAATCCCACAGTCATTGAACCAGGCTTTGGTGCTTTTGGCAGTGTAGGCAGGTGCCAAGTCCTGCCGGAAAATGAAGTCAGCA